TATATATATATATATATATATGGAAAAGCACATGCATTTTATTAACAAAGTTTAATTAATTGTTGCCCTGCATAAGGGGGTCCTGGGGAGCCCTCAGCATGTCTCTGCCCCCGGGGCCCTCAGCAGGTTAGCGAGGCCCTGCATTCTCTGCGTCTATTTTCAGCAGCTGTTGGCTGAGGGACAGCAGAGCTCAGCTGTGCTGCTATCAATCAACTCCTACTCACACCGCTCCTCCACCCCCTCCACCCCCTAAACCCCAACAAGTAACTGCGCACTCCAGGCCTCGCAGCCCCCTAACAGCCCCCCCATCAGCTGCAGACTCACAACAGCAGCTCAAGCTTCAGTTTGTCCTGTTAGACCCTCAACAAAAGTAAAACTACAACACATGAAAACAAACTTATCTCCAGAGCTGAGTGCACAGCTGGACAGAGGAAAACTTTCACCTTTAGCCTTAACCACCATGTCTCGTTAGTGATGTCAGTATTTTTCTTTAAATATTTTAATATTATTTCCATGAATATATGACAGATGTCCACAAGTTAAATACACAGCTGGGTATTTTCTGTTAATCTGATACAAGAAACATTCAAAAGTCCGAAACTGAAACCTGCTCAATGAATGACAATGAAACATGTTTTTCCTGAAGTTATTATAATAAATGTGACATAATTACAAAAAGTGATTTTCTTTAATTAAAGCATTGATTTCCAGCTGACGGTTACTGTGACAAGCTCAGTCTAAACCCAGTTTAATCCTGATATTTAAATCCAGTATAAAAGTGTGAACCTGGTGACCTGAGTGAACTCATGTCACACATGTGACAAACTTATTGCCTTAAAAAACGTAATTAGACTCAATTAAAGAGAGTTACAGTGACTCGTTTACTCTGAGTGTGCAGCGCCTCATGGGCTGAGGCAGACATCTCATTTGTGTCCCATACAACGCACAGTTACAGGACGACTGGTCTCCGTTGTAGTGGATGCTATTTAGTTTTGCACATCTGCTCATGAATGTAAGAAGAATTGATGGCTGTGATTTTTTCTTCAGTGTGTGGATTTTTCCTCTCTCTCATTTATCTTCTTTTATTTCAGGCTCTCCCTTTGATTTTGCCATTTATGTTTTTGATCATCTGTCTTTGATTTTTTTTTAAATCATTCTATATGAACAAAGTTATTATTACTGTTACTACCTATGTTTCATTTAATGAAGGTAAGCCTGCTTAGTCTTTGTGTCCTGCACAGTTACAGACAGACTGAAGTGGGAACAATTACTCTCAACAGGAGTCTGTTAACAACTAGACCTTCACATAAACACTGAAAACCATGGAACACAGACTCCAACACACTACTGCACAATGAATTCAGCAACACAAACACACTGTGTCTGCAAATACTGTCCTTTAGTCAGATTAGTGCATTTAACTTCATCTATACTAGTTTTTTAATGCTGTACTAAGTAATGTGGACTTCATGTCTGCAGACTGAGCAGTAAAGTTGTACTTCTTCAGGATTTATAAAACCCTGCAACACTTTGGCCACTCATCATTCACATCCACTCCAAGACATCTGCAGTCCGATTTACGTCCTTCTGGAGGGTTCCAAACACTTTTGGATTTCTTGAAGGGTTCAAGTTTCAACAAGTTTCTCTGACCCCTCCCGCGACCTTTTGCAAAGATCACACACTCTGTACCTGGGTGAAATTTAAAAGCAGGCTTTAATAATTCTGACTTTTTATCCTTAAAAATAAGAAACTCTTTGAATGAATCCACTGATGAAACTGTATGCACTGAACAGCTGTGAAAACCTGGATCTCCACACACCTGTGAGCCACACCTGTCATCTGTCAGTCACAAACTGATGCCACACGTGATTTCCTTTGTAAAAACCGCTTTTATGAAAGAAACCAGCAGTTGGGCTGACTCTGTTTCCAGGTTTCACACACACACACATACACACCGTGCGTAAACTTTGCGTAAAAACTCTTCAAACGCGCCTCTTTATCGGTTTTACGCACTCACCGATGGAGACCAACTTGATGTGCTCCCTTTCCAGGAACTCCAGCGCTACGGACACGTTCTCCAGCTTCATCTGCCTGAAGTTGGGTCTGCTGTGGTACTTCCGGTACATCTTTTTCTGGCTTAGCACCTCCAGCAGCCCTATTAACTTTAGCCCATCGCTCAGGTCCTTCTGCAGGTCGTTGATGCGTTTGTTGATCACCTTCAGGTGCTCGTTGCACCACCTAGTGAAGGTGTTCTGCTGGATCTTCTTCCACGGGGCGTCCTCGGCCAGGTCCTTCTCGGTGGCCGGCATCTCCTCCTCCTCCTCCTCCTCGCCGATGTCCGCGGTGCTCTGGTAGAACTGCTGGGGCTCCAAGTAGCTGTTGTTGCTCATCGTGGACATGCCTTTTATAGCACCGAGCGCAGTGGGAAGAGAAGGAAAGGCAGAAAAAAAAAAAGAGAAACGGGGCAGTGGAAGCGGAGGGGCAGTGCCCAGCGCGCGGGGAGGGAGCTTCACGGAGCTGTGCGTAAAGAGGCGCGCATGCAGACCCGAGGTCACTCCTGCGGGCTCACACTCTCAGAGAAAGAGGAGGCTCAGGAGGAAGAGTGAAGAATAGTCTGCTTTTGTCCTCCGGCTGGCTTGGCTGTGGTCACGCGCGGGTGGCGTCGTGGACAGAGTGGGGCTGTGCAGCTGCGTGAGCGTGAAGCGAGGTTTAAAGGCTCGGCGTCACTGCGCAGGACTCCCAGGAATGCCCCTGCCATGACCATATACTACTGCGGCCCGGGCATCCTCCGAGCCGCAGGACACCGAGACCGCAGATCATTGGTCGGGCGCGGAGCAGGGGGGTGGAGACACGCTGGACACCCCCAACCAGGACACCCCCATCTACCCCACCCTGACAGCCGGACCCGGGGCTCCACAGCCGCTCTGACACCTCCGGGTATTTTTAGAGTCCTCAAACCTGGAGAGACACCCTGAGGAGGGACATGACATCACCATCAGGCAGCCAATCAAATCACTGCATGACATTTAAACAACAAAGCAGAAATAAACAACATCAAAGTTTACTACAGTTTGGAAATACATATCATATCTGAAAATACAATAGACTCTGTGATAATGATTAATGACAATTAATGGTAACTACAACGGAGGTTGGGTGTTTACAGTTAATTGAATGAGGTGCTGCTGCTTCTTGCAATTCCATTGGCTGCCAAATGGAGGCGCGGCAAACTGAAGCAAGCGAGAGAGGAAGAAAAATTTCATGCTGCGTTTAATTGAGGTTTTTTGAAGAGTAAAACAAACTGAAGAGATTTATTGACGTAAACAGCAGCGCCCCCTGCTGAGCACAGTCTGCTTCTACGTGAAACAAGCTGAACTTGACCCAGAGTGAAACCCAAGATCAGCTCTGCAATAATCACATACAGATGTGTGCAGTTACAGCTTTATAAGAGCTGCTGGTTTTATTCCAACTGTGTTGAACATCAGCCTAAAATGTGCTCGCTGTGGCTGTACATAGTCTATAGTCTTTATACACAAAAAATGTCCACAGTGATGATTCTAGTGGGTTAAAGAGTGAGAAGTGGCACAGTGGCTCACTGCATTCATGCTGTGGAATCGTGGGCTCGTTGAACATGTGTGTGAAAACATGAAAGTAGTGTTTTGAGTTAAAATATGTGGCATCAGGCGTATTTCCTGTGTGTCACGTTCAGAGACTTACTATAAAAACACAAGACAGGAATACAGACTCACCGTGAGTCTGAAAATATCTGCGTCCAGCTCAGATATCACGAGAGGAAAACAGCAGCTCACATCTAAAGTGTAAATATGGAGCCAAACTAAATTTAACAGCGAGTGTCGCCGTGATACACTCATCAGCCTCTCAGAGCATACAGTTTACCAGAGTTATCACCACTTATTACGGTCATGACTTCACTCCTGATTCCTACTCTTTTTTTTCCTTCACCATGAACTGAATAAAGAAGATGGAAGTATCATCATGATGTCACCATGAAGCAACTTTCTGACCACTAGGTAGCCCCGCCCTAAATTATTCCTGGTTTTGTGGTCTTTTCTGGCTCTAATGGGACCTTTTGGTTTGGTTTGGTTTGGTTTGATCCACCACACAGCTGCCACAACTATGATGGTGACACAAGGCTTCACAGCAGAAACTGACACAGCATCAGATGACAGAGTAGATAGAGCATCAGAACTATGGTATACTATGGCCATAAAGGGATGGACATGGTCAGCAACAATACTCAGCTACGATGCTGTATTTAAACTGTAAACTGTGTTGCTCAGGTGACAAAAGTGGGTCAATAAAATATCCTTCACACCATCACACCACCAGCAGCCTGAAATACTGGTACAAGGCAGGATTGATAAATGACTTCATAATGGCTGTTTTCACCAAACTCTAAACTTACCATCTGATTGTACTAGCAGTAATCATCATCAGACCAGGAAACATTTTTTTGTCTTCTGTTGTCCAGTTTTTGTGAGTCCGTGTAAACTGTAGCCTCTCTGTAGCCTCCTGTTATTAGTGAACAAAAGTGGTACATGTGAGGTCTTCTGCTGCTGGAGCCCAGTTGCTTCAAGTTTAGACCAGCCTCTCTAGCACCAACAACCAAGCACTTCAGCAGGTCATTGTCATGATGTCTACATACCTAAAAGCAATAAGTTGCTGCCATGTGATTGATTGAATAGATAATTGCATGGTTGAAACAGGCGCATGTAATGTCCTAAGGTTGTTTTTACCAGTAATTCTGAAAATATACCATAATGCTGAACACATGAAAGACAAGGAAAACTATGTTTATTTGTATTAGATTATTTACCAAACATAAAATACAGTCCCAGACAGATGTTAGCATGGTGCAAAAACATCAAGAACAGAGATCAAAAACAAAGAAGAGAAACAGCAGCCAGATGACAGTGATGCTCCGCTTTTTTTCGGCTCAGATTCAGGACGCCAAAGTAGAAGCAGAGTTCATACAGCACACCTGATACTTGACAGTAACACCTGACGCACAATCAGCAGTGAAATCTGAGGAGTTTAAACAGTCAGACATTTTAAAATCTTTTCTGATGGTTCAGTTTCACCGTGGTCTAAGTACACATCCAGGATGAACCTAGCTTTGCAAAAAGGCTGGAACTCAGGGGCAAACTGACAGCTATCAGTGTCTCCTGTATTTTTTTTTTTTAATCTAATTGGCAGTTTCCCCCTATGTGTTTAACATCCTAATCAACGCTGAGCTTGGCTAATCACGTTTAAACATGAACACTTGTCCCACCCCCAAAACAAAACAAAACAAAACAAAACAACAAACCATAACATTCATTTTTATACTAACTAGCATGATGTTGAATACATATATTGCTAACTACCAAATAAATCCCAAAATATGGAAAAACATTTAGCATGCTATTTTTAGTTATGCTGGCTAACATATGTTAAGCTAGGCTAAGCTAATTTTATAAACACCAGTTACAAAAAACTACAACAATACCTGTCAGTACTAGAAGAAACTAGCGTAATGCCTGCAGTGGCTAATAACAACAAAAATATCACTTAGCTAATAAAACATGCCAGTATTTCAGCAACTACACGGACTTGTGCTAAATTAGGCTGAACTAGTTGCTACTGATAGATAACTATAATAATAAACTGCTATTTCCATTAGACACAGCTGCGCGACACAACACCAGTTAGAAACCAGCAGGAAAACATGTTGGGTTAAACTGTTTGTAGTTCTATAAGTTAAACTAGTTCAGTGACAACGATGTCTTTAGCTGTGTGCCACATAAATTTAATGTAAACCATCATGTAGATGTTCAGGTGCTCCCATGGTTCCAGTGTTCATGCTCAGCTTGGTTAAACCCAGATAAAACTAAAATCCACCATAAAAACAATTGGCTAATAACACAGTCTGCATCGGCTAATGGAAGAATTGGATTTTAGCGCTCATGCTACAGCTTGGCTGAAGCTGCTACAGCGGCTACATCTACTCTTCTAATTTCATGCAAAGTCACTATTCCTCTAAACCTAACATGCAGGATGGAGATACCTACTGGGAGCTAACGTTTGTCAGGACTGTGCTAAGGATGGACTATCAGGATATCACTGATAAAACAAAATATGCCTTTTCGCTTTTACATTTTCATTTTGTGAAAAGAGAACAACAAAAGGATCAGATAAGTACTAGTTCTGTTTTCAGAAGTACATAAAAACTATCACAGACCTCCAGAAATTGATATCAAGTGCAAGTTACTGTGGCAGAAACCCAGCAGATAAACTGACACATTTTGTATTTTGATTATATTATTGTGACTTTTGTCAAGATAACTCCAACACAGACATACAAGAACCATCAGAGGAGATTTGGTGGCCTAACAGGAAGCTCAGATGTTTGAGAAGTTTTCAAAGTAAATCCATATTCACACAATAGATGAAAGAAAGTTTTTTAAATTGTTCTATAAATTCAGATGTTATTTCTGCATAATGGACAAACAGTCTGAGTTGTGCTGCTGTATATTAATGTATCAGGAAACCAATAATCAGTCCACCCCCAGACTCTTCTTAATGCTAGATTTGCAAACATCTGACGAACTATCACATACTTATTATCACAGAAGCTGTAGGAAAATTATGCACTTTAAAACAGAACAAAGAAGAAACCAAGCAGAAGAAAAATCAGAACAAAGCACTGATCAAAGCAAAGATACCAAGACGGTACAGAGGAACACCGGCATGCAGCTTTTAGGAAGATTTTTGTAATTTTACTGACATAATAATAAAAAAATAGTATTGAGTTTGTATTCACAGTAAAACACAGATTTAAAAACATTCTGGAGGAATTGATTCAGTGCCAGTTAAGGTTGTGGAAGTCTCGAATAAATTACATATTTTCAGACACATTTTTAACACAAGACCAACAAAGACAATGAGAGCCCTGATACAACACAAAAACACATTAAAGCCCAGGAAATACCAAAAACACTAGCAGATCAAATATAGGTTATAACTATTAGTATTTTATGTTCTAAAATATCAGATAAAATTTGTTGAAACTCACTGATCAAAATAATTAAATAATGTGCAACATCTGTCTTATTATCTCATTAATGTTGACATTAATGAGATAATAATTTTTTGTTCCTAACTGGTTTCCCTTTTCTGGCAGTAATGGGCTTTCATACCTTTAATTTGAGTAAATAAGTACATTAAAAAAAGTTACCACGTGAAAGTTGTGTGGCAATTAAGTCTCTATCTTGACTAACCTTTCATATATATTATTGTGTTTTTTTTCTGCTGGGAGCTGACCTACACATATTACTAAGAAAACTTCACAACATCAGTTAAATGTGTAAAATATGTTTTTCCTTCAGCAAGTGTCTGTAAAGTAGGCTACACGTGTTTGTCATGCAAAATGTTTATAGGAGCTCCTAACAGCACATGCTACTAGTTGTTTTAAACAATACAGTATAATAGCCTGATCAAACTTCGGATTTAATTATTAATTAATTTAAATAATCTTAAATTAATTAATAATTAATTAATTTAAGATTTAAATAATCTTAAATTAATTAATAAGCCTTTATTAATTTTAAATTTAACCCACAGTTTGTTAAAGCCCTGCTTTATCAAATTAATGCTTTTAATATCTTCAGTCAAGTACACGTGTCACAGTTCAATCCTCATTTGCAGTGCCATATGTTGTAAATAAACTGGAATGTCTGAGCTAGTTGTTATCTTAATGAAATAAGTTAGACAGCA